GGAACAGACTGCCCAGGGAGGTGTTGGGGTCTCCTTCTCTGGAGATATTCAAACCCCGCCTGGATGCGATCCTGTGCAACTTGCTGTAGGCGATCCTGTGCAACTTGCTGTAGGTGACCCTGCTTTAGCAGGGGGGTTGGATGAGATGATCTCCAGAGGTCCCTTCAACCTTGACCATTCTGTGATTCCGTGACACAAGCAAGATGCGAGATTGTTAGGATGAATAACAAGATGCCAAGTCAGAGGAAAACAGACCATATTCTGTTAGTTGCAGAACTGCTAGTTCAAACAAGAACCCAAAAGTCTCTCTCTCTGCCTATTTAGAACATTTTCAAAATGAAAAAAGAGAAAATAATACTGCTCAAAAATCCCAATATGGAATGGGTTAGGGTAATGTTCAGATTCTGCACCATATACTTGCACAGAGCCATAGGAATTAGAGGGTCAGCAAGCCTCTAGGGAATCTCCCTTGCTATTTAGTAAGTATTTTTAATTCCCTAAAAAGCCATGGTAACCTTGTAATGACCTTACTGAGCCACAATCCCTGTGATGGCTTTGTTAACATTATAATTTCTAAATTGCTACCCAATCTTATGGATTTTAAAAAATGCAAAATGCTGCATTTAGAGGTAGATGTGCATTATGAAGACAAAATAAGGTCTTGTGATTAATACACAAACTGAGCATCCCAAAGTATAAACAGGAATTCAGGACAGGAGAGACTGCTCACCTCATTTAGGAATTTACTCTGTGATCTTTAACAAATCACTTAATCTTTCTATGTCTCAATTCCCCATATATAAAACAGGGTAATACTTGCTTTAAAGATAAAAGCTGTCACACGTGTCCTCTTTTTAAAAATTAAATGTCATAGAAAAGCCTCTAGCTAAACAGTTAAAACCATTTCTTGCAAATATTAAGGAAAAGATTGATTTTCTTTGTTATTCAGACAGATTTTCCCCAAATATTCTCATTCAGTACGTCATACCTGTTATGCAGTTTGGTTCTTTATATAAGAAGTGGTCATACTGAGTCCACAACTTTACCTTTTTTAAAATTGGCCTTATAAATTTACTAGCAGTCTATCAAAGTTCAGTAAGATTCTTAACTACATTATCCTGACAGAGACAAGAAAAATCACAGACATAAAGCTCATAACCCTATCTGAGACTACAGCTTGGATCATTTGTCAGACAACTTTTGAGTAAACTATGAAGGATTCATGTTTCACTGTCATACATTCAGTATGTATGACAAATGATGACAAGTACATGTATGTATATTCGGTGAAGATAAAAGTCCTATGGCAAATGCAGTGGCTATTTTACCCATTATGTTCTTTTCACTTTGATGCTTTTTCAGGTATTAAGATATGCTTAATCAAGTCAGGTTATTTATTCCAACTTTGGTATTAAACAAATCAGTGGAGAAAGTTGGAAGACCTTACACAAAGGTACAATTGCTAACAGTGGATGAGCCAGCGTGACAGTGTAGTGACAATCTGTCACACATCGGTATGAGTTTCGATTCCGAACTGAAGTCTGAGCTGTTGAATCAGAGGCTGGAAAACTGGCAAAGGTGTAGTGCTGCCCTCCCAATGAGGGTATGGGGCACAGCAAAAGGACTCTTGGCATCGTTCTCAGGGGAATATTTTGGCTCATGTAAGGACTGGCTCCAACAAGTTCTGAAGGAAGCTATGCTCAGGCCTTTGTAGGGGAACATGTTTTACGACACGGGGCCTTTGATGGGACTTTGGGTAGGAGTTTAGAAGATGCCTGAGTTAGCTGTATACCTAACCAAAGATGAATGGGGAATGCATGACTACCTCTCTGTATATGAAAAGAATAAATGGAAGCAGCTAACATGAGAAAGAACATGGAGAAATTTCTCTGAAGAGAATAAGTAAGATAGAGATAGCAGAACTGGTGTATGATCCTATCTTTTTCTTAGAAAATGAGAAAAAATTATTGCAAGCTAAAGTATCTTTATTTCCTCAATTGACAGTATTTGAGTTAATACCCTCTAAACTGTGAGCTTGAAAAAGTAATTTCAGATTAAAAGAGAGATTTTACAACTCCGACATTAACATCACAAAACTCAGATCATGAATTACATTTACTTTATTTAATTTAATATTACATGCATTTTAGACATTGATTCATACTGTTTATTTGCACAAGTAGTCATTCTCAATGTACAAGTAATAACCATTGCTGTTACAGTGAAATTCAGTAGCATGCACTGCACACACTTGTGTGCAAAGTTGTCTTCAGTTAGAAAATCTTAAGGTCATGATTTCTAAATTAATATTATACATACAGTTTAATTTTGGTTTTATGCAGACATTGCATAGTTGATGATTAGCTTCTCAAGAAAGACTGGAATTGTGGTACCAGTATTGTTGAAGCAGATCAAGTGACAGTGGCAAACAAGAAGATTTGAAGAAGAGGCATAACTTTCAAGGTTGAAAGGTCAGCAAGTACAGCCTAGGATAAAAAACAAAAAGGCTTGTTAAACTTGACATTTGAATCAAATTTCTTTAAAGCAAGTCAAAAAGTCAGAAAATGATTCAAATACTGACTACAATACTAACAATAATTAGATTCAGACCTGGCTAGAAACAAATTACACTGGTTTATATTAGTGCCTTATTGTTTTATTTTTCATTGTGACATTTCAAAGAAAAAGCATGTTTACATACATAAACCAAGTAACTTTATTTTAGCCTTTAGCCTTACTTCAAATATACATGGCATCATGGGTGAATAAGGGGTCTACAATTTCAACTTGCTTCTAAAAATAACTGGGAATTAAGAATCCTTATCCTGTGGCTTGGCTACTACTTGTGAAGTAAGTCCAATGTAATGACTCAAATAGTCAATGTCTTCTCATGAAAGTATGTATTTAAAAAAAAAAAAAAAAAGAGTAATCACAAGCTTTCGAAGTTTGGGAAAAAATACATCACCAGATCTTTGGAAAAAAAATGTATTTTAACAAATTACTAGAGACAAACAATAATAATCTTCATCTTAGTTACTTAATTTTTTTCATTTCCCATGACAGTACTCACAGTGGCATTTCAGATTCAACACTGACAAAAGTAATCTTGTAAAATCTTTGTAAGATCAAAAAGCACAGAAGCAACTACGTCAAAATGCACTGAGAAAAAAGGCACAAACCTCTACAATATTTTAAAAACAGTATCTCCAACGCAGATTTTATATTAAAATAGAAAAAACATGTAACTGTACAAAGTATTTTGATAACACAGCATTTTTGTAGCAAATATACTCTTTTATTTCCTTTTACTCCAGAAAAGCAGCATTATGTACGGCATGTTCACAATTTTCTTATTTTTTTATCTAAGATAAGAACTTAGGCAGAAAGATTTGCACTATGTACCACGTGCCGTGTGAAGCTTAAGTTACTCTTGTTGGCAAAGCATCAAAAACTATTTCAATCTCCTCTAACTGAAACTTATCCTTACTTCAGCTGCAGCCAATGATGTCACCTCCATCAGGTTGACTGCTCGGAAAGCAAACACAGCAGCTGCCAGGACTGAAAGAAAATGCCCAATATGTAAGTTGCTGATCTGTTAATTAGTGGTTAGAATTAATCTTGATGTAAAATACCAATTCTCACTCCCTTAGAGTAATTGTTTCTGAAGAATAATATACAATGGATGGCTGTGTTTGAGTTTCTTTGGCCACTCTGAAATGGGTAGTAAAAACACAACATTCTTTCAGAAAAGTCTGAGTGAAAATGCTTAAGATGACTAGTGTGTTTAATTAAAAAGGATGAGGTCATTTACAATTAGTTCATTTCTAAGCCAATAATTTTAATTTATTTAAATAGCAGTATTTAAGTTGTGAATATTATGTAACATTAAAAAATGTTTTTATTTTGTACTATCTTATATATCTCTCTATGTAGCTTGCCTTATACATAGAAATGGAACCAAAACCTTTTCTATTCACTTATTTTGTATGTAAAAACTGACTTAACTGAAGATCTGGTCTTCTTTAGAACCCCCATCTTAAACCTTTCATAAATCTTAGGACGTTATTTCCTTTATAAAAAAATAAGTACAAAACTTTCAAAGTCCCTTAAAAGATGGGACTTCAAAAGAAGAAATCCAGCAAAATCAGGGGAACTCTCAGTTTCTGTAAGTAGCAAAGAAGTATTTGCCATAAATGAGTAACGTGAATCTTGTATTTTGTGAAAGGTGATGAATTAATTTATTGTTACCACTGAAGCTGGGAGAACATCCTATGTTCTATTCAGGGAGTGCTAAGCATTTTTGGAGTGCTATCATAAAAAAAAATTATCTTGCATATTTTTGTTAGGGATGCAGTATTTATGCAATTCTAATTTTCTAAAAGTTATACTCTTTGACATGTATGTAATCTGCTTTCAGTATTCAAAAAGCAACTATTTTCTTCTTGTCACAAAATACATTGAAGCTAACATGTATTTGCCTTACATCCACGTGGACTTAACACATTTTGTAAAAATAACTGTATTACCAGCAAGAATTTCTAGAGAGTTGTATCCCAAGATTCTGTCCCACAGAAGCAAGAGCTGATCTGTAGCTAAATAACCAGAAAATGCTCGTACCATCCATTTAAATGAAATTCGTAGCCTGCAAACAAGTGATAAACAACAGTTATTATATTTCTGTTTCCCACAATGATCAGACAGATCCTCTATAAATTGAAAATATTTCATTATTCTTCTGAATTTCTCTTCCAGGAAGAAGAGCTATTTTCTCTTGCTGCATTATTAATCAATATTTTCCTTCACAATAGCCATCAGAAAACTATTTAGCATCTCATTTGACAAAGTACTAATAACATTAAAATATTCTGATGAAACAATCATATCAGCTATTATCACCCCCAATGTTTCATCCTTTCTGCTATTATGATGAATACCAATTATAACAGCAAGATTTTCAGGTTCTGTTGCGCTTGCTGCCACGAGTATACTACAGAATGACAGCCTCTCACTCTCTCTGCCCTTCCAGTAGCTTCTGCTGTAACTAACATAACTCTGCGTCTTCCGTCCCCTAGGAAATAAATCACTTAGTTCCATCAGATCTGACATGAATAACAAACTCAGCTGAATAATGTAGCGTTTCTCATATGGCAATTCTTTCTTTTTCATAGAACATACAGAAGAAATGCACAAAGCACGTACATGCAGGGTAGACAGAGGATTCCAACTGACTTTCAAGGAAAAATGGCACATTGATGTTTGCACTTTTGAATAATTTCCCATGTCTTTCAAATTAAAATACTGCAGATCAGCATTTTCAGAACAATGAATCTGCAGCATCTGTAGCAAGTCAGAAAGAAGTACTTACGGCTGAGCCCCAATTTCTCGAAGGTGATAAAAGAGCTGGGGCAGATGGGTTTGTAGAAGAGTCTCAAACAGCAAACACAATGATACAATGCCCTAATGAAACAAGATCATATCCTGAATACTAACACTCATCCTGTCAAATCTGAGAAAACGGTACCAGCATGTAACTATGCATGAATTTCTAATTCAAGCAATAAACCACTATTAATAATATAATATACAGCTCAGGTAAGCAGGGCACAAGCAGCTCAAACACCTTCAGTGACTATAGCCTTCCTCCTACAATTCTATGTATGTATTAGCAACACAATATGTTGTGATAGTCCCTTTCAGCTCTAAGTTACTTATGGTATTTGTATGTCAGAGTCTAAGTACTTAGTGGGTTATTATAATATGACCTACTTTAAATATTTCCACTCTGATAAAACACCTCAGTTGCACTAAAAAAACAGAGGATGTGAGAAACAGTCTCTCTCTGATAACTAAAACCAAACAGCAATGGGGATAACTACAAAAAAAGTTAAATATAAACACTTTTTAAAATTTCTTTTAAAAATTACCATGAAAATTAATACATTTCCATCTGACAGGTTTCCCTGCTATTAATGAGTGAAAGCACAATGCACAGCCTCGAAACTGTATATGAAGGAACAGATTTTAACTAGGGAATGTTTTCAAAAAGTAATATAACTATTCAGCACTTCATGAAGGAGAAAAAAAACCCTACATATTTACTATGTTTTATTCTTCAAAAACAGAAGATAAGCCAATTTCTAGAACTGTCTTACATTCAAGACAGCTGGTCGTAGTCATAAACATAACCAAATTACTTAAATGTGCTAAAAAGCATTGGCTGTCACACAAAGATACTTGAATTAAAGAAACAGACATTAACTTGGTATCACTGAAATGATGCATGTATATATGTGACTATATTTTAGTCCCTCTACCCCAGAAAATACTTAAGTGTGCACTTATATGTCAGTAATTAAAATGGAAGTAAGTATGCATTTATGTGACTTCTTGAAGGGAGAAACCTATTACATAAAAGACTTGACTCTCAAAATAACCCCTGCATCCTCATAAAATGAGAACTGTACTATTTTAAAGTACATTATATTCTACAGCAAACACTAACATTGATGTAGGAAACAAAAGTGTCCAAACTGGTGTTACCTAATAATTTTTCCAAGCTTGCCTGAATTATTTTGTTATATTTAAAAGGACATATTTCAATCACATAGAAAATCATGCCACTGTATATTATTGTTTCACAGCAAACAGAATATCAAGGGAGTGGGTTTTAATTCCTAATGAACTTACAGAGGGATGAGAAGAGATGGAATGGAGTCTGAAGAAAAAACGCACATACATCTCACGGAATATCTGATACAATTTGGAAGGTTCATGGTACAGAAAACAAAGTGGAGCAACTGAAATGATAAAAGAATTATAATTGACTCAACACTGTAAACTGCTAAGAGTTCAATGATTAAGTGCATGAAGTATGAGGGAAAAACAAGTAATTTATAGTAGTACAATAACAATACTAAACCAATTATTTAGAAAGAGGTATTTTATAATAGAGTCTATCATCTGATGTAAAAAGCTATGAAAGGGAGTACAATACATTCGAGCTAATAGTTCTATAGTTCTCTTTCAAGAATCTAAACTAATTAGAACCTGCTTATTACAGTGCTGCCTCCCAAAGCATAAGAAATACACTTTAAGGTTAGCTTCTCTGGGGTGTAGGGCAACAACATGTTGAATAGTGAAAGATTTTGATTCAATCGTCGGTAACTTCCAATGTGCCCTTGGGCTAGTGACCATCCCCGAATTGGTTTCCCATTTGTAAGACTGGAATAAGTTTACTGCTTGAAGATGGGTGTTGTGGAAACAAAAAATATTAAAAAAAAATAGCTTTTGGTTGCCACAATAACATTACATAAGTATGACAGACTGTTAGAGACCTGTTTATTTCTTGTAAGATATGAAAACCATGGACATTTGATAGTTTACTGTTTTAAGTCTTTTAGTATACCTAATTCAGAATGAGTTGGCTACATTTGTAAAGCAGCAGTTCTCAAACTTTTTTCAATCTATCCCTTTTTTCTTTTTGTAAGAGTCTAGCATATAGATAAATCTGATCTATGTATATGCCACACAAATATAATCAGTTCCCTCCGATTGCTACTCCATTCATTCAATGCATGTTTCACAGACAGTTGTTCTATATACATTTCTGCCTTTAGATCTGTCCACTCATCCCATCTACTGCTTCATTTTACAGGTGCATTCATTACAGATGACAGCTTAAGTTTTAACACAATCATAGTCTGTATCTCTACATTCACCTTCCCTTCCAATTTTATTTACACAAAGCCAGGGATATAGATACGTTTGTCTGCATACATATGTATACATATGCACATAGATATACGTACATATATATATGGGTGTACGCATGCATGAATTAATTTTCATATATATGTCAAAGAAGGTGGCTTAATAGAAAATAGTGGCATATACTTACGAAAGGTGGGGTGCTAAGGTAGGGCAAGACGTTCACAGAAATGTGTATTTATGTAGGGGTAAGAGAAGCAGAGGGTGTTACTAGTGTGTATGTTTTTAACGACTGAAGATGGAGATGGAAGACTTGGCAGCATGCATATGTACATAAAGGCCAGGAGGATAACAGAACAGTGCCTGACAGCTGGCACTCTATGAGCATATGCATGCAAACATGCAAAACGGTATAGGATTTACATAAGGCCCCAGATACTTTCACCTGTAGCAGCACAGTGTGGAATACACAGGGTGCTCTGCTTGGTGCCAGTTACCATACCCACAGCCTGGAGTTACACTACTGTGTTTCTGCTGCCTTGCTTTTCAGCCTCCCTTCTTCTCACAACCAGCATACTCCGAGCCCTTGCAAAGTGAGAGGAGAGGAGGGAGGGAAGAAGCTCACACCCAGTTTGAGAGATGCTGTTCTCAAAGGCAGAGTCAAATTCAAACATTTTGAAAAGCGGTTTCACACAGAAAAAGTGAGCGCCTCCTATTGAGTACCTAAGGAGGAGTTTGTCACGAAGTTGTTCATTACTTCAAAGACTTAAGATTCCCTCCTCAGGTTCAAATTTGCATTTCATAAAGTGCCTGATTTTAATGATCATGTGATCACTAGACTTTATTATTAGCAAAACATAGCATTTTAAGTATAATCTTAAAATCTGCTTGCCCTATGATGCCACAAACACCTTTGATAAATCAAAGGAAAAAACTGAAAAGCTGTAACAAATGGTCTCACATTGTTGGAGTATCTCTGCACTAGCTGCCTTGTTATGTCTGAGACCTGAGGAGATTTTTCTGCTCTTTTCCTAGAAATCTTGTTGATATTTGAGCTTTCCTCTGTGCAGCAAAGTAGCAACCATTCTATTATTTAATGCTCCCTTAACATCTGTTCTAGGCAAATGGATACAGCAACAGGCCTTTCACGTAATTCATGTTTGTAAGGACTCTTTTCACAAGTAACTTGGTCTACCTAGAAAGGAAACACAAGAAAAGAGCACTCTGCCAACAAACTTTATCCCTCTATTCATATACATTAAGATGCATAGTTCAGCTATCAGCTCTCAAAGAAGGAACTCCCACACAGTAGCAAGCTGCAATACAAATAAATAGAAACAGCCTGGAATTTCAAAAATTATATACAACAGTCTTCATACACAAAGAAACAGAACGCACACAAGTTTAAAAGTTGCAGAAGAGTACATACAGCTATGAACTGCAATACGATAAAAAGCAATCCTGAGGCTTTAAGAGTTTATGAGTCACACTTACCATACATAGAAAAGCCGTGAAAAGGAATTACACCTATAAAACAAAAATATTTATTTTTTTGTTCTTTTGTATTTCTTTTTATCCATGTAAAAAAAATATGTATTTTTCCCCCAAGTTTCTAAATTGTATTCTGCCTACCATAGGAATAAAATATTTCCTTATTATGGCATCTGCAGTCTTAAATCTCAATCTTGTAAGTATTTAAGTACAGGAATTGTATCACTTACCAACTACATGCCTAAACACATGCTATAGTTCCTAGAAAGCCAAGTAAAGCTCCATTTCCATGAAGTTATTATGTATAAGCTCATTTCAGATAAATGACAACCTGTAAATGTCATGCACTGACAAGGATGGAGCAGGAAAAAAGGAGGTCAAGACCTCTAGTAATTCACATAGTACTTGGATAAAACATTTAGAGGACTTGCCAGTTGTATCATTACAGTTCTCTCCTCCTGTCCAGCTGAACTTAGCTCCCATTCATTAGTTTTCATATAGGACCAGTAAAAGGGAGCTGCTTGGGCAAAAGGTCATAAGGACAATGCTTCACGGCTACAAAGCTGCAAAGAATTGCAGAGGCAAAAATGGAAGAAAGGGGAACAAAAGTATATGCTACAACTGACACTACTGGAACACAGAAGACTTAACAGACAAGGCCAGAGATACAGATTTAAGATTGGTGACATAAGGCCTTGAAAGCAAGAGCAAAGAGCTTGAACTTAAAATACAAATGCAGCACAAAAACAGGAAAGGATTCAATAGACAGGGGCTGAAATGGACAAAATAAAAGCTGAAAAAAGAATTTTAATAGCTGAAGTAACAACAACAGCAGCAATTATATTAACTTTAAATTATATAAATTAGTTATGTCTGAGTTTTTAAAATGAACACAAATTTTGAAAGGAAAACTCTTTAAGGTCTGGTTTGTTGAGCACTGAAAAGCTGGGGGTCAGACACTTTCAGCATGTATCATTCAGATCCTCTAAGTGGTGATACAAGACTGGAATACAAGCTGCTGCACCAGAAGTTGTTTTCCTTTCTCCTTCCCCCACACACAGACAAACTCCATATGCGACTACTAACACTATGCTGAATGTGGTTTTGGAGTAGCTTCAGTCCAGCTTACTCCTTCAAATTAATGAATTTTGCAGAATAACAGCAAAACATAATTTGTAATAGAAAAAGAGGTTAGCATGTATTTGAGAAAAAAAAATCCTGTATCTTTCCAATCTACCACTAGAGGAGGCAATAGTACAATTCTTACCATTTGGAGGATAGAAAACAGCATATTCTTCCATTCCGAGTTTTCCTGTGAACCATCAAACCACAATTAAAATGTGATTAAACTGTTAAAGGGTGTAAAGATTTAACTTTAAAAGGTAGATTCTAAGTTACAATTATAAAAATCATAACTAATTACATTATTGACCGTTTGATATTGTCTAAAACAAGCAAGCAATGCAGCAGGACAGGTACAGTGTCCAATATAAAACTAAAATGCAGCACCAATAAGGGAGGATGACAAACTGCAAAAAAGAGGAGGAAGATTTCAGCAATGCTATCCTATAGAGATTTTACTTGGGTGTGTCTTAGGAGTTCTAAAGGTGTTTGCTGCAGACCTTGAAGACAGTGAAGCTCTATGAGGGAATAAGGTTAAGGGGATAAGTCTGTCATGCTGCAGCAGACTGACCTTGGGACAGGAAACGCATTAAAAAAGATATTAGAACAGATAAAAAATATTCAAGGCTTCATTAAGCCTGCAACAGAGAGGAAGATGGGTGGTGTAGTTTTGATATAACAAAAAATATTTCAGTAATCTGTTGGACACAAAAGATTAAGTCAAGACAATCACTGATAGTATAGACTGACCTTCTAACTTTTTCTCTTGCAAAATGAACATATTATATTGGTTAATCATATTTTAACTATAGAACCTGATAATTTAAAATCCACTATTAAAAAAGTCAACAATTTATTTAGAAATAGAAAAGTGTTTTTAAGCATAATTACAACTAAATAAAAGCTGTAATTATTTTAGTTTTAGAGTGAGAAAATTCAACTAGAAAATGTAATTACTTATATGAAAATTTATAGACTATTCAGAGATCTTTTAGATCTCTGTGTACTTTGTTCACTCTATGCAGAAGAATTTAGCACAGGGAACTTTTGTCAGGTTCAAGGGAATCTGGACTAAGATATTTTCCTGTAGCATGAATTGACTGAATTAAATTCAAAATTAACCAGCAAAGCTCTTGCCTACTACCCCGTGAAAATAAAATCCAATATTTTCCAATTTCAGAAATGAGTTGCTTCACTTAACTAAAAAATACTTTTTACTTTTCCTTTCAACAGTTTGCTTGCTGTGCAGTAGGGAGCTGTAATCTGGAATGAGAGTATTTTTTAGCATAAAGCACATCTCTTGGAAAATTAGCCAAAAATAGGACCTACAAGCCTTTTGGATTTACACTGCACAGGATCAGCAGAGATTTAGATTTCAGCAACTTCATTCCACAGATTTGTCTAGGTGTAAGTAGGATGTTCCCCATCGCTGTGTTTCTGGGCTGCCATGGCTCTGTGCCTGAAGCGAGACCTGAGATCCCATTGCTGTTTCACTCTCAGGTGAGCCCTTTGCTTGTTTTAAGACGTAGGTAAATAAAACTCCCTAATTCAGTTAAAGAGAGGGAAAAAGACCTACAAAGCAATAAAGGAGGAAGAAAAAAATTAGAAAACAAACATTGCCTCTAGTGACATAAGAAGCAGCAAGATGAAAACTGTCAGCAGAGGTCCTGTTCAAGAAAAGGACTTGGTATGGGGATCACGTTTGGCTAAATACGCCGGCACAAGGGACCAAGGAAGAAAATGGCAATGCAGAAGGTAGAGGTACATGGAAAAAAAAGTGATTGGATGGCTGAATGATTCAAGGAAGACAAAATTAGGAACCTCTGCGTAAAGCCAAGGCAGGTGAGCATCTAAGAAGCAAGGAAATAGAGCCCAGAGGTATGGCATTAGAAGTTGGCAGAGAAGGCAAGTAGACCACCCAATAAATTTATGATTGTTAAGAAAAATAAGACTCACATGAGACCTTAAGCCAAAGAACATCCAAAAGCAAGCTAGCACTCTGAAAGATGCCATGCTTTGAAACAAATTAGCGTAAGTCTTCTTGGTAGAGCTCTACTCTCCCAGACCTTTGAACGGAGCCCAGAGTTCTTTAGCAACATGTTCTGCTCCTGTCTACAAATATCTGCAAAATTCACTGCTTTGGGAAGATAACATCCTCCCACCACTTCCAGTTGCTAAATTTACTGAAGTTGCAGAGGACAATGTTGTGTATTTAAATATCTAGCTCTGATGAAGATAGATGTCGTCAACATTTTATCATATTGTCATAGTTGTGCGTTTAATTTATTTTGGTAAAACACTGGAGAATTATACACAAAAAACTACAGTAGAAGAACAACATCGTAATCTGGCCTTCATGTGATCAGCTTCTAAACTGTCACAATAGAATCCATGTGGATGTCAGCTGGATACATGAAGTTTTTATTAACGTTCTTTTAAATGTAGTCTACTAGGTGTAATGAACCTAAAGGAAATGCACATACTGTGTTACTGCAGCAGTCAACAAAAATCTGTACAATTTTTAAAAACAATTCCTTTTACCTTTTATATATGATTTGGGTGGGGTGGCACTACTGTAAGTAAAGTGCTCCAATACAGATGTATCTCGGGAAAAACAGAGTAATACCTGTAGAAAAGACAGCATATAAAAATCAGCTGCCTTACTGGATCAACAAAGCAACATCAAACACGTTTAAGGACCTGCCTTAATTAGCACTTATTAGATGCTATTGAAGAGAGCTAATATGGTTGAAAGCTCTTGACCAATTTAATTTACTTTCCTGTTCAAATTTCCAGGCTTACTTTGAACTTGCTACGATTTTACCTTCACATTCATTTGTTGTCAGTAAAATAGCCCCATTCTCCAACTCTCCTCTTTGCCTCTCAGCATGGGTTTATCCCCTTCTGTCACATCATTAGTAACTGTGCATGCAATTGACTGCTTTGATGTCTATTAGATTATTTTGCTATTCAGTTACTATGACCTGTAGAAGTCCTAGTAAGTGAATAAGCAAATGGAACATTTATATTTTCACACCTCTGCCATTCCAGAGGACTGATTCTTACATTCATTTTTGTTCCCAGGAGCTTTACAGAATGCTTTCATGATATTCAGCTCTTTCAAAAAGTACAGATTATAATGTTCACCTCATATCTGTAAGTTTTGAAATGCACATTGTACTTTGTAAAATATATTTGTATTTTTTATTGTTTACATAAATGAAAAATCCAGTATTCACAGCAACTGAGTATAAAATTAAATAGTAAAAGCATTCCTAGAAAAAGAAAATAATCTCACCCTATATGTAGTTGTAAAAAATTTAACAATTAGTATTGTACTTTAAAATTTTCATGTTTTCATGCAATGAAAGACTGTGCTATCAAGAATGTACACAAGAGGGCAGAAGTAAGACAGACTTCAACTTGCTGCTGACTTTTTTGCATACCTTAAACTTTCTCTGCTTTTGCAGGTTTTAAGAGTTTGTTTTTTTGTCTGTTTTAACTGTAGCCAAGGTGTAAAAGCTGGAAATGCTTTAGATGATGTTTCACTACATAATTTATTGTGAATAAAAATGAATGGATTTTTCCTTCCACTAATTATTGCAAACATTTTCCAGATATCAGCATTTGTCAAAAAGAAACATGCAAAACTGAAACACTGTAACATCTGAACATCATTGCTTTTTTTATTTTTCATGGAAAGCAGGTTATATTTTGAGACTTTTTCCTCTTTTGAACCTTGAAACTATTTCTCAGATAAAAAAAAAAATTTTAAAAATAAATAGTTTCTTTATCTCAAACAGTTTAAGCTAAATATTATTTTTGCGCAGTACACAATCATTTTCATAGCTGCCAAAATATAGCTAACAATAACAATACACAGGCAAATGTAATTCTCTGTATATGTTAACTGGGGTGAAAGAAAAAGAAATTAATCTAAAAAGGACATAAATTATGTTCTCTCATAAGGGAAAGAATGTAACCTTAATTTGAGGCCCCCTTTTTTTGGAATACAGTGTCCAGTACCAGTATCTGGAAGTCTTTAAGACTATGCATCTTTCTAAGAGACAGAGTCTAGCTCAAACATAAGTTATGACTATACCTAAAAACTGCTGGGTGAGGTTCTTTGCATGTATTCATTATGCACATTGTAAGACTGAAGTATTCAAATTGAACCTCTAGCCTGAAATAACGAATTTACAAATTTATTAATTCATGTAATATTTTTCTCATTCACAAAAATGATAATGCTAAAGGAAACAATGACACAAACCCTTTTTAAGTACAAGAAATGTTTGGGAAACTATTGGATATTTATAATCAAAACTGAAAACAATTCAAAGGACTAAGAAAAAAAAAAAGCCAAAACTTTTATCAAAATGAAAGTACTGTATTAAAAGTCAATAAAGAAGTAATAAAAATATGTAAACTTTGAGATAAAGAAAGCAAAGATATTAAAGGAAATAAATTACATCATTTTACAGTGTTCTTCCCAAAACAGATGGCATGCTTCTAAAGAGGTACCAATAATCCAACCAAATAGCCTCATTGTTATTTTACACTCAAATTTTCTGGTTTTGATGGATGCTTTATTTGTTAAGTAATACACAGACAAATGCCACACTTTGCTCAATGACTTGGAAAACTTAGAGGCAGTAACTAGTCGTGAAAAAAACCACAAACCCAGTGCAAACATAGAAAAAATTTATCTGGTTTAACCTAGTATTTTCATTACCTATTTTATTTAGCCAATATTTGATTCCAGTTATCATATGAAATCAATAAATAATATTCCATCTCAGAGTGACTTATACTACAGAATTTTTCCAGGGACCATAGAAAAAAATAATTTGGCAGCAACGCATTTGCAAATTAGGTTGGAAGAGAAAATTATCAAGGAAAATGGATAACTTTCTTCCAGAAAAGAGTCAGAAGAATACCACAAAGTACCAAACAAAACCAGAGCAACTAATAATTAGAAGTTTGAGATATTTTTTGCCTCAAAGCCTTGCAGTAAAACTAGTCACTTAATTTTTCAAAGATTTTTGGTGACTCTCCTTCAAATTACCAAGGATAGTTCAGTCCTTTAATAATTTTCATTCTGTAATCATCCTTTTAGTTAATAGAGATATATAAAAAACTAAAATATTCAACTGTGCTATGTATCGAGAATGATGAACAAAATCTATTTCTGATGGTCTTAAAAGATTATAGTGTATACTAGTTCATACTCCTTCATAGATTATAATTCTGTGTCCACTGGAATTGTCAGTTAATGAGACTAATTACTATGCCTTAGTAGCCTATATAATGAATGAAGCTGAAATAACAATAAGATTTTCACATCCCATGATGAAGGGATAATGTTACAATAATGAAGATCATCTTTGACCTTTAAATCAAGAAAAGCTTCCACATGTAAATATTTTAGTAAATAAATACCAGTGTTTGAGTTGTCATTATATGTAGCCACTTTTCAAATTCTAATACAGAAACAAATTCAGATACAGATCTTAATATTGTAACTATTTTTAAGTAAAAAAGGCTATAGTTTCATGAGGCGATAATTTTAAGTATTACTGTTTAAATGTTTATTATGCAAAAATATTATATGTAGACATGATTGAATAGTATGCTTAAATAGTAATGCCTATTTTTGTATCTATATGGACCAAGCAGCACTAAGGGTAGACTCCTGCTTAGTTAAATTACTAGCAGTTTTACATATTGCCATCAAAGAAGAAATCATTTAGTTTCACATAGTGCTAAAACAAAAAATTAAGCAAGCCTAACCTAACAGATGTGACTAATGAAATTGAAAGCACTGTGGAAATGGTAAGTTTGCTGCATGACATTTATGTTGACACTGCAATCAACTACACATTAGGAAATCCATAAATGTAATCTCGTTCTATTTAAGGGCATTTGACAGGCAGCAACAAAGATAATTCTTTATAAAAGTAGCTGGGTTCCCAATTGCTAGAAGCAGCTTTGGAATGGAAGCAATCCTAAAAGTAACCATACATATCACTACCTTACTCAGAATCAATGTCTTCAATTTTAAAATATGTCAATACAGTAATCTTTTATGCTTATTGCAGTAGGTCACTGTAAAGCAGTTGGTTTTGTTTTTTTTAAACTGGAACCCTGAATACACTTCTCTGGTCTTAATTTCTGTGTGCCACAACTGTTAATCATTTTATTATTGCAAAGCTGGGAAGGGGAAGAATATGGCTGACCGTATTTTCTGGCTTACTGCTTTGGAAAGACACTGTGCAGGGTCCTTCAGAGTAGGAGTTTTAGAAGCTTGTCCTGCTTAATCTGTTTAAATGTACAAGATTGTTATTCAGAAGGGAAAGTATATGTAATGCAGCAAACAGATGCATCTGTGTAGGGTCCCACTGTGTTCTGCCTATACATGAAACACAAAGGCAGTCCTTACTCCAAAGATGATATAATCCCACAGGAGTAGACTTTCTAGCTTTTCTCAGAAAAAAAATAGTTACACACCTGATATAAATAATCCTCAAATACAAAATAGTAGTCATCATTGCTTGCTGTCAGCTTTACATCCTGTAATCAAAAAATACAGCCGTTTGAAGCCAAAAGACATCTTTTCAGACTCCCATAGAAGCTAAACTTAACACAGTGGTAGAAGACAGTTTCACCATTGAATCATGAAAGAGCTGTAGTTAAGCATATATCCCATATTTTAAAATTAAAAAACGCTATATTAACTTGATGATTAAAGTATTCAGAATTGAAACTTGAAACAGAAGCGGTCGACCCCAAGGCTTTCTCCCTCGCAAAAGCAGTTATTCCTTCAGATGAAGTTACCGTTTCTTTACAACTTAACAGCTCAACTCACACAAAAGCCAACACAGGCACAAGGACAGAGTTTACAATAATAAATTCACACTAATTATTCTTACACTCCTTAAAACCAAACCATCTAACATTTTCTTTGTTAAAAGAACCAAGATACTGGTGTGATGAGTATATAAATCACTTAATCACTGTTCAGAGAATTACTTACTTTGTAAATCAGGCTGTCCACTAAAAGGTCATGCTGAATCACATTTGACTTAAGCTGTTCATAATACAAGATATCCTAAAATTAAAAATATTATCATCAGTCTGAGATACAACCTTAATTTATAGTTAAACAAAGTCAATTTTTAACAATTTTTAAAAAAATTATAAGCATGTATTCAGCTGAAAAACTCACTGCATAATTTATGAAGCATTCTCTCACAATTTATTCTAGTTTGAATGCCTAAGAAATGACGCAGATACTTGAGACCTCCTCTTTAGATAATTAATAAAATGAGAACGAAGTAACTAGTTCAGACCAGAGATCCGTATCTTCCAACTTTTAGGTTGCTCTACACCTAGAACCTTTTCAATGCTCAAAATCATCATGCTTTTTTTATTTGTTACCCTCTATTTTCATGTACCTCTCCACCAATAGGTTCTGTCATATCTTCCACCATTAGTGAGGTGCTGCAAATATTTGATGTTAATGAATATGAATCTCCAAATATTTTAAATTTGTGAAAAGATGAAATGATAAATATATAAAAAAAATCTTGCAAAGACTAAAAAGAACTCAGACTTTTTTTTAAACTCCAATTATTTCCTGAATGTCTACAGAACATACACAAGGGTGAAATCATGGGGAACAATCAGAACAAACACTTCTCTGCTTTTGCTTATTCTATGCCTTTCTTCTTAGAAAGGGCTTGCAAGGGAAAAGAAGAATTAAGTATCGCACTATCATCATGTAATTCCTAAATCCCTAAATACCTCTCTGCCATTATGCCTACAATTGAGTAACAGTTTCAGACGGATTTGGAACAATTCATAAACTAAATCAGCAGTCCCAAAGCTCCTTCTCTCTTCACAAAACTATTTTGATTTCAATACATCTCTATGGACACCACACAAATACATGTATATTCCAAGATTTACACAATATTTACTGCTGATCGCTTTGCAAAAAAGGGTAAGGCTTGAGTAAGGATTTAAAGAACAAATGGGAATCAAGATGAAATTTTGAGAGAGAGAGAATGGAAAAAAAATGAAGAGAAGGCTAGGAAACATTGTAACTGTTCTTTGTATGAATTCAAAACTGAGAATTCGTGAATAGTATACACTTAGAAAGTCTTAGAATTAATATATTATTAGACTGTTAAGTTGAAATGAGGACAAAAGCTGTATTTACTACAAGGAAAATATCTACATTTTTCTTTCTGAAAAACAAAAAGGGGAAGTATAAGTACTACATTATTTCTTTAGGAAGGATCAGACATAAGTATTTACTAAATACTTATTTAGTAAATAAGTAAAAGCTACAGACAACTACTCTAATATAAAGTGTAGGACCCGGCACTTGTTCTTGTTGAACCTCATGCTGTTGGTCTCAGCCCACCTGTCCAGGTCCCTCTGGAGAGCCTTCCTACCCTCCAGCAGATCGACACTCCCACCTAACTTGGTGTCATCTGCAAATTTACTGAGGGTGCCCTCAATCCCAACATCCAGATCATCTATAAAGATGTTAAACAGCACCGGCCGCAAAACTGAGCCCTGGGGAACACCGCTAGTGACTGGCCGCCAATGGGATTTACTGGGCCCGGGGGAACCCCGCGAGGGACGGGCCGCCAATGGGATTTAGCTCCGTTGACCACAACTCTCTGGGCCCAGCCATCCAGGCAGTTTTTTTACCCATTGAAGAGTCCACCCATCTAAGCCATGAGCAGCCAATTTATTTAGGAGGATACTGTGGGAGACTGTGTCGAAGGCGTTACTAAAGTCTAGGTAGACAACATCCACAGCCTTTCCCTCATCTACCAAGCAGGTCACCTTGTCATAAAAGGAAACCAGATTGGTCAAGCATGATCTTCCTGTCATAAATCCATATTGGCTGGCCCTGATCCCCTGATTTTCCTGCATGTGCTGTGTAATAGCACTCAAGATGACCTGTTCCATAACCTTGCCCAGAACCAAGGTCAGGTTGACAGGCCTGTAGTTCCCCAGGTCATCTTTCCGACCCTTCTTGCAGATGGGTGTTACATTTGCTAACTTCCAGTCTGTTGAAACTTCTCCAGTTGACCAGGACTGCTGACAGATGACTGCAAGAGGTTTGGCAAGCTCTTCTGCAAGTTTCCTCATTACTCTGGTGTGAATCTCATCAGGGCCTATACACTTATGAGAGCCTAACTGGCACAGCAAGTCGCTAACCATCTTATGGTTATGGTTATGATTATGGGGACTTCACTCAGCTCCCTGTCCTTAACAACCAGCTCTGGGGGTTGGGCATCCTGAGGACAACTGGTCTTGGTATTGAAAACTGAGGCAAAGAAGGCATTGAGCACTTCTGCGTTTTCCTCATCCCCTGTCACTACACTACCCTCTGCATTCAGCAAATGATGAAGAATCTCCCTGACTCTCCTTTTCCTGCCAAGTGTTTTGTGCTAACCTTTTCCTTCCTGAATTAGGAAGCCATTCAATTATGTTTTACATTTGCTTACAAGAGTCCATAGATTTTCCTGTTATTAAAATTATTGTAAAACGACAACTAAAAAGTAATCTCATAAGTACATGGTCCATTCATCTTAACAGTCAGAATAACTTGGTATTAAGTTTAATTGCTACTGATATATTCATACTTAGAATAGATTCGGTGATTTAGTATGCAAGGAATGACTTTACTGAATGTATGAAGAACAAATTTCTGTGCAAGAAAAAAAATACTCATAAATGATGCTCTACTGTACTGACACCATGAGTTTAGAGTGCTAGTTTCAGTACAGTTTTATTTATGGCATCAATCTGAACTATGATGGCTATGTTATTAATTTCTTAAGATGTTTATCAGCTTCCTGTGCCTTGATTCAACTGCATTATTAATTGAAATGTAAAGAATCATGTTAATTGCAATTATGCATAAATTACAGTTTGTGCCAATAGCCATTGAACAGTGTCCTCCACAGAAGAAAACCAGAAAACTGCTAAAAGAAATGTAAATTAAATAGGTTTAACCAGAACAGAAGATTTCCTACTTGTTAATACAGAATGACACATGTATTTAAACCATTAACATTTCTTTTTGTTTTAGCAAAGCTAAAGTGTAGAAACTTTCCATTTCCCACCCTTCAGATTTGTGTACTGATTTCAGAAAACAATCTACTTATTAGAATATAGGGTAAGTACTGTCCGAGTTAGAACACAGATTTGAATTACTTAGCTGTAACCAATAGGATGTATGATTTCCTAAATATATATCCTTCCCAATTTTCCTCCTTAATTTGTTTCAATTTGGATACATATTTCAAGCAATGAAAAAGGTGGTAAGAACAAACAACCTGATGTTTAGGGCACTGTCTTAAAAGAGAGAACAACTGGGCTCAGATTGTTCAGCAACTCACAGAAACTGAATGAAAGTTCTTTATGATTCAGTTGAAAACTTTCTTCAGTATGATTTTAAATGAAAAGAGTCAACAGTTCATCAACTTCTTTTTTTTCAGAAATAATAGTTTCTCCTTTGCTCTTACAAAAACTCACCAGGCCAACTTGGTCATTACTCAGAAAAATCAAACACCATTTCCTGTTGCTGTTATAAATTCAGCATGAACTAAAATTTCAAACACAACTCAAAGCTCTACCCTGAAAAAATGAATAGCAAATTTACATTGCAAATATTAGCAGAGTAAAACAATACTTGAATACTTTAACAGTTCAATAATTTAGTAAAAAAAGACCAGAAGGACAAGCTGTCCTCCTGAACTAGAACGCATGAGAAAAAGTTTGGGAAATAAATCAGAAATTATTAAAAACGGCCTTGCAAGGCAAAACCAATCACAAGCATTCTAGGAATAAAGTTTTTAACTCATTACTTGTCATTCATTTCCTCTTAAATTGTGATTGTTGTGATGCAAAAGTCTGGGCTTGGGAATCACACCATTTTTTTCAGCCACAACTTGACTACAAGAGGATCTTGCCCATGCCTCTTAGTAAGACAAGAAGCTTGTGATTCATGCTGTATTAATAAATGTATTTTTTTATATCTGAATCATAAACAAGATTGGTCACAGATGTACTTTCAACCCACAGGACTTTGTTGCTCGATGATCAGTTTTTCTCACACAGTGAAGAATGTTTTTAAGAGCTTCACTCAGGCTTCAGGAAAGATTCAAGTCTCATTTTGCTATTTTCTTGGCTGCATTTCTTCCTCCAGATGAGACAACTGACTACTATCAAGTTGCAGGAGTGTCCAAAAGTGTGGTATGTTTCTTAGCCTAAAATGTTTTCAATTATAAAGCCAAAATCTTACCATTTTCATCTGATTCAACCTTTCTTCTCTGTCTGCCAAAACTAAAGTAACCTTGATTTGTAAACTTTTTCCTTTTTAAAAACATGTTGCATTTTTATATAGACTGTAGTTTTTATCAAAATTATATATATTTTTTATACCACACTTCCAAACATACTCATTTTTCCTAGCTGAAACAAAGTACATTTCAGGATTGCAGTGCCCAGCCCTCTTGACCTTGCAAAGCCACATACCAAAATTTCCACCCAAAAACCTCTTACTGTATCCACTTGAGAGCGGAAGAAAAATGGAACTCTGAAAGTAGCTCACAGTCAAGAGAGAACAGTATCTTTCAGCAGTACCCAGCAAAGCTAGTTTAAGCAGAATCTGGTGATTCACTTTCTTTGAAATTAAGGTTTGGATTACTTCAGCAGCTTCTGTGCAGGCACAGTGTACCTGTGGCCTCCCATGAAATCCCTAGCACTGGAGCTGCATTCTCCCTGCTAAACTGTAGGCAGCTCATGATTTATTTTTAGGTTACCCTCATCATATGATTGCACTTTCTATACTTGCCTCTCAAACTGAATACAAGAAAAGGGTGGGTGAAGCATAGAACTAGGAATAGGAAGAAAGACTGACACTGGGGAGTCTAGAGAGGAGACACTAAGATTTGTGGGAACTGGATGAAGTCTAAAGAATGGCAATCATCATTAATTAGGTGAGCTGTGGATTTTGGAACAGAAGTACCAGAACCAAGTACAAATCAAAAAACTAATCAGATTACATAAAGAGATAATGGACAAAAGAGTTAAAGAAAGTCCCTCCTGGCAAATCCTTGAAGAGGGTCCAAAGCTTTTACCAGACACCTGTAAAATCTACTTGTAAAGTACATCCGTTTCCGGTCAAAGATGATGACAGCACATTACTGCTACTGGCTTCTCTCCTATTTGAATGGTACAGTGGGTAACCTTAGGCTACTGATCCTAAACTAAACCCCCCTTCTGATAAGGAATAGAGTCACATAATGCTCCATTATGAACTTACCACCTCGTGTATTTATTAAGTTTTTAAACCTAGGAAATAACATTCAGTAAAAGCTGTACTAAAGCAAAGCATTACTAATTTCTGCAAGCTGAAATTTTCAGAATTAAGATTTATTTTCAACCCATTAACTCAAAAAAATTAGAGGGGAAAAAAACAACCTATGAGATAATGAACAATTTTGTTTTCTAAGCACTACTTGAATAGCATGCAGTGAATAAACAATAGAGTAACACACCAAACAGAAGGAAAAAAATAATAAACAGATTCTCAGTAAGCGTGTGCCATCCACTTTGTGCAATCAATGAGGGAGACATCCCAGAGGAAAAAATTGTGATTGTGTGATTCAAGATCATACTACAAAGTGTATATATATACAGCAAATTGGACTGTTTGCACAGACAATATTAACTGTGACACTGTTCAGCTTTTAAATGTTTGACTTTGCAACCTTAAAAATGCTCTTTTAACACAGTTCCTCTAAAATGTGCCATTACAAATAAAAACTAATAAACAATTCATTGCCAGGCAACATGCTTATGCATTTCTAAATGATCCTGCATATAGAGTTTACAGTTTATCATTTTTATGATTACAATGCTAGATGGCTAGGATCATCCCTTGCTTGGTTGTATATTAGCTTTATATAGAGACTGAGCTTTACTGAATAAAATTTTCCAAACAACAATACTGGATGCTAACACATGCAATGCTGCCCATACCAAACTCTCATAATGCGTTACATTAAAGAAAGGACATTCACGGTTCCTTATGAGTTATAGATTCATAGAGCTATAAACAGAATAGAGCCTAAACTGCAAATCAGAAATATTACAGCAAGAAATCTCGGCAACCACACAATTCAACTCCAGCAAAAAAAAACAGTACACAAGAGGTAAAGAAGCATTAAATCAATCAACAAAGTCTATATGAAATACAGCAGATCATAAAACAGCTACATGTATCTGAAAACTGCTTTGCTATACTTTACAAAAAAATTAAGCAGCATATTCAGTATATGCAAGAAGAACGTCTGAAGGTGTTAGCATTCTGATAGTAGTTACAGTCTTACTTCTGTGAAATGCTAGTAAATGCAATGCTTAAAATGAACTATGGACATTCAACTTATAGCTATAGTAACCCATGTGCTATCCTACCTATCTTGGGCAGTCTGCTAGGTCTGAGTCAGAAAGCCTACCCTTTTAGATTTCAAAGTCCATAAAACAACTGTAACTTAGAGCCCAGGATGACAAATACTATACTATGCTATATATAAAAATAGTCTTGGAAAATAAGATAAAAGGCTCTGATAGCTGTTACGTTAGAAGATACAGTTTCAGTTTAGCATGACAGAAAAACATTCATATATACTTACATCACCAGCTTATATGATTTTCTCCAACATAGTATATCTTGTCTACAGACTTGATAATTTCTGTTCTTTGTGGAGAGGGAGGGTGGATTTTGTATTTTACTGTTTTCCAATCCTTTATTTCAACAATCTCAAATTAGTGACAAATACATAGTCTGCATCACTTCATCCATCCTTACTTACCAGTTTTTCTTGATGTTATTGTTACCATTTTCCCACCACTTATCCCCATCTTTCTAGAGTTCCTTCAGCATCATCACAAAATATTGTCTTACCAATAATCCCCTGCACAGGGTCTACTCAGTTCAGTCTCAAGGTTCTAGAACCTGTAGAGTACCTCCTAAAGGAGAATGTCTACCATACTGAATCTCAGAATACTGTATGCATATATAGTTTATTTTTCTTCTTCATCTATAGTTAACAAGTATCATTTGCTAAGTGCGTAGAAAGTTATCTCAAGGTAAAATATTATGTCAACAAGAACTTATTAGCTGCCCTGACATAAGTGTCCTCATGCATCCTTGCAGTAAGTTGGAGCTGAATTGCCATTTATTACACAGTAAAGGCACATACACGAGCACTTGTGATTAAACAGCTGATGTACTACTCTCTAGCTTACTTAACGATAAATTGAATTAAAAATCTCACAGCAGAGACTAACCTTTTGAAAATGTCTAAAATATTCACACTTCAGGCACAGTATAAATGCATATTAAAAACAACTATAAGCTGGAGTTAACTTTTAAAGGATCTAACAGTGTAGCTGACAAATATCTTAATAGATATTTGTCTATCTTAATATATCTATCTATCTTAATAGATAGACATAGCTTGCTCCTCTTTAGAAAAGGTAACTGTTGAAAATTGTCCATGTGAATTTCAGGAAATGCATTTTAATAAATCTATTTCCGTAACAACACCTGCTTTACATGAACATAAAATATTTTATCATTTTTCTGATTATTGCTTTGACTTTCATTAACCAAAATTGAATATCTGACTTTTTAATTCAATTATTTAATTTTCCACATTAAGATAAAAATGCTCTTAGAGCATGCAGCATTTAACAGAATATAAACAGATGCAATGTAACCAACAACATTAATTTCACATCTCTAATATTCCTGCTCTCATAAAGACTTCTAAAATTCAAGCTGCCCTGATAATTTAAAATAACTTAAATCTAGTGTTGAGCATCTTAAGTAAGATGTATAATATTTAATTATTATTTCAATAGCTCTTTCTTCTACAGAAAATTCAATCTTATTTACTAGAAACCATAGCCTATTTTATTTTTTCAAAAAGGAATAAACTAAGTAATTCTGATACCAGATGAAATAACTTCAACACTTTAGGTAAGCTGTCTATGAACAACATTTATTCTTAAGGGCAAGATCTTATGATTGTACTATGTAGTTACCAATAAATGCCCCAGTATTACAAGAAAATGGCTACATCCTCAAAGGACATGAGATACTGTAAAATTCTCACATTTATGAGCCAATTTACATGTATTCATGTTGTTCTTTATTGCAATAAAAGCTTTGCATCAAAGTATTCACAATTCTGCAAAGATTTAAATAGGGATTTAACTTTCTAAGGTGTATCAGATATATTGACTATAGCATGGCTTCAGATACTGCAAAAGATTTCATTGTTGAGGACTTGTGACAAATATAAGGTATTATGAAAAACTGCTGCTATACAAGGGAGTATGAAAACAATCCACATCTTACTAGTTCCTCTTTATGTCTTTTTGATTGTACATATGTAAAGTATACACAATAATGTATCAAGCAATTTACAAGATATGTACATGCATATGATAACAGGTTCAAACAGCCAGGAAAAATGTATAGCACATCTCCTTTTTATAAAACTTAGCAAAGATAAGAGAGGTTCAGTCTTCTTTCCAGGACTTTTGTCTTGTCGCTTTCTGCAAAAGTTAGCACCATATAGAAAAACCTCAGGAGCTAGCCAGATCAATTGAATAGTTTGTTCTACAGTATTTTGCTCATATATCTGTTAAAAAATTTGGGAAGAGCCTAAAAGACTTCACCACAGCACGGAGTTTTTTTACAGGCATGTGTCTATTTCTCAAAATGTTTATCAGTTTCTGTAACAATGCAATACAGCATTTCGATTTTGGAAAATCATTAGAAGATATGTGCTTTTGTATTTTCACCTACTCTTCATATTTTACTCTCACTTTGCTGCTTACCTCTGGCTGATTAGAAATATTGAGAATGAGGGCCCACAGATCAGCTCGGAGTGCTGTTGGACATCCCTGACGAACATATTGTTGAGCTGCAGCACTATCTTGCTCTGCTAAAACTGTAAGAAACAAAGCAGGTAATGAATTGATGTAGTTTAAGACTTCCAAAGTTTATCAAATTATCACATACTTAAATTTTTAACTTTACAAACTGGTTTACCACGCTGTAAGCATTAGATAATGGGAAAATATCTAAAAGGTCTGGTTTCCACAATGCAATTTTGAAGTAGTTCCCTGGGAAATAAGACATTTGGTATTAATAAGCAAGGCTGTACTACCTTCTGTCACAAAATAGCACTTAGTATGCATCCTCTCAGTATGTGTCTATGCAACTATCAAGGCTGGCATCAAGCAGAACAAGCAGCCACACATAGCCACAAAATCCTACTGTTTAACTATGAGTGATGCCTCGGTTCACATAGGAGATTGCCACTCATTCTGGTTTTTCTGTGTCTCCCTATTTTTATGTTAACTATATGAGTATCTTCACAGATAACTGTGGGGCAAGAATTTTCCATTTCAGAGTGTACTGTCATGCTCTCTCTCATTATTGGTATATGTACTCTGGAGGATAAAGAGTTTCTTTCTCAAAAGATTTTTTTTTTCCTTCAGATTGATGTAAAACAAATACTCTACTGTTGACAGGTTTGCTTAGATGGGTCATTGTTGTGAAGCTTTAAGCTACTCTGTCACAAGGGCCTCATCCTGAATACAGCACTGTATATACCTTAGAGCAGATTATCTCATTCCTTACTTAAATCTATAAACTTGAAAGATATGCATCTTTAGCTATCCTAATCTGGTAGAAGTGTTGTCTCCCATCGAGGCTATTGTGATTAACCGTACCCTCATACCTGAAATGTCTTTCACAACAGAGAGAGTTGGGAGAATACTTCTGTGAGATTATCTAGACACTAGATAGGTGGTGTACTGGTATTCAGAAGTTTCCATATCCTCTGATTTTTCTGAAGTCTTTTAGAAACAACTTGCTTTTCTAAATTTCACTAAATTAGATATTCACGATATCTGCCCTGACATGACTTACAAGGATGAGGTTCAGAATTAAAAATTTATTAAATTGAGCCATCTCTCCTTTCCTCTCTTCTTAAATACTGAATAGACCAGTCTGCCAATTTTCTGTTTAACCTGCAGAGCTCTAACACAGATGGTATGTGATCCTTTTTTCCAAAACGAAGAGGAAAAAAAGAAAAAAAGATTCCTACATTCCCCACAAAACTTTAGAAAAGACTGTGATTCATCTCAGTGTCCATGAGTGTTTACCTTATTGTTTCTTACTGAGACACAAAACATTAAAAAGTAATTTTGCTATATAGAAGATGGGTTTTACTAAATACAATAAAAAAAATTCCTCAGACTTGGTAATACATCTAATCTAAAAGCAAAATCAATACATCAGTGACAAGCAAAGTCATAACCAACACCAAACAGAGCATGCAGTAGGATTCCCACTGAATGAACTGAGATTTCAGTTTATAGTCAAGACTCTTAACTTACATTTTTACAGTATTTTGTGTCTTTGCATATAGGAAAAGCTAAGACAATCCCTGTAATAGAGGCTGCTCTACACAGACAAAAGACGAGGAGTAGTTCTTACATCGTGGAGTTGAATGACTGGCCCAGGAAGTCTGGATAGGGAATTTCTTTGGAAGAACAGGAAAAGAACAGAGAGATGGACAGTACTCTAATGAGTTGCTCTTGGATCAGGAAACAGATGATGAGGGATAGATAGAAGGAGGACCACAAAAGGAGAAGAAAGGTAGGTCACTGTTTTGTTACTGCAACAAAAAAAGGGATGGAGGACTTTTGGGATGGTATCCACTCTATTTTTTTTCTTTGATGATGATAATGTTTTGCAGGAATCACAAGAGACAGTAGCAGATATTGATGGATTTCAAACATTCCTTGTATGTTTTTTTTCTATAAGCAAACTTGAGCTAATAAATGATTATTTCTTTTATCTTTCTCTTTCTTTTGTAGTTTATTTCCTAACCTACAAAAAAACTCGGAACTTCTTCAGAAAAGGTAGTATAAAGAGACAAATGAGTGAATTTTCCATGGTGGCTAAGTATTGCAATACTTAGCAAGTTCTGCAATTGCAAATAACAAAGACTCTGTTCTGATGCACAGGCGTAAAACCCATTATACTAATGAGAACTGTGTGTGCAGAGAAGGGAGTCCAGAGTCTTTTGATTTTAAAATGAAATTCAGCAGTGGCATATGTTAAGTTATCACCAAAAACTCATGTCTCTATGCTTCCTATTTAATTTTTAATGAAATATCTGTGGAGCTATTTATCTGGTAGCTACTCATAGACTGCAAATGCTTGCTTTTCTGTCTCTGTCTAGATTACAATGGTATTACTGACTGTCTAAATTACAATGGTATTATTGACTATGCTTTGCGTTAGTCTAAATCGTTAAAATTCTAAATGTATACATAACTGAGATAGAAATTTACTAAATTTACTCCTAACTACTCAGTTTATTACAGATGAAAACAGATCCATACCTTTCTGTCCAATATGTACATGTTCATTTTCAAAGAACTCTAGAAAATAAAGACATAGAAAAGAATGGCAAAAATTAAATAAAAAGATATTCCAGCTAGTAATGTACTTTATTGTTTTACTATACACCGCTACATTCAGCTGATTTTTACTGCTAATGTCACTAAAAATTAGCCTGCATCAGCATCAATGTTCTTTTTCAAAAACAAAGAAGAAATAATACTACAGAATTTTTTTCTTGTCTGAAGGACACTAATACCAAAGTAGCACTATACTGCGTGAACCTAGACATTCAATTACGTAAGTTTTCATTTAAAAAGAAGAATCACTTGATATTATAATGTGTTCCACTTTTATATGAAAGACCATTTTAAAACATGTTTTTACAGGAATAAATGCATACACAGAAAAACAACAGAAATGAGGAACTATTTAAGCTACTGATATATATACTAATATATGGATATTTTCTGTAATCTTTAATAAAAGATAGTTATTTAAAAGATGCTTGTATATATGCCTATCTGACAGCTGGCTTCACATTTATTGGTATTTCCTATATTTTTGGACACAGGCAATTTTGTTCTCTAGATCTTGAACTGTTCAAACACACTGAAATTAACATATTTTCAACTTAAGGTGATGATTTTAAATCTTCTCCAAATCTGACCCTTCAGATTTGCAATGTTTTCTATTATTAGCTATATTTTACGAAGAAAATCACTACAATCATAGTTACAGAACAAATATTTATGATTTATTAGGGAAAAATACACAAATTACTTGATAATTGCAAAGTATTCTACTCATTAGTGTTCTATTTAAATGACTAAAGCACAGCATTAGCTAACCAGGAGGCACTTGTGCTGAATCATCAATACCCAGCTGTCCTATACTTAAGCCTAGTTCACTGAAGTCTTCTTTCTGAAAAGAAACAAAACCATAAAACAGTAATTAACAATGCTTAATTCTCTAAGTCACTAGAGATTTCCTCTTAAAGGCTTAATGCAAATATTTTCTAAGCCAAAAGTAGTTCTTTTAAATGCATATATATGAAACATGAGCTCAGGTTTAAAGAGAAGAATCTCACAAATTCTTACTCTAGTTTTAGTTACAGGCCCCAGTTTTCATGTCAACTATGAGCTACACCTGGATGTAATAAAGTGGTGAATGAAAGATTAGGTTAAGGATAGCTAATTTCTAGCTCTTTCCCAACCCAGGTGCAAGTTTTTCTACTAGCATAAAATCCTCAAGAGACTTATCAGTGAAGCATTAAGAAGGGCTCTCCTATTTTCCAATCATAATACTAGTACCCAAGCATTTCCCTTCATTTACAATCTGACAATAAAGGGACTTAGAATTCCTTTGAGAAGAAAATTGGAAGCTAACTGATTGTCAGGTTACTGATCTTGTACAGTGTCAAATAAAACTGTAGAATTAAGATAAACTACATATTCACTTTTTTCTGTATTAGAAAACTTTAAATAACATATACAGAAGTATGTGTTTGGCACAAATCGATGCTGTGTGGTGTAAAATGAAAAATTCCCTACTGACAGATAATTTACTGTTTATGTTTTACTTTTCATTAAAAATGTAATTTCATAAAATTTTTTTATGCTCTGTGTTTTACCTACATATTTAGATTGATTTTCAGTTTCAAAAGGAGAAACTTATATTAATATTCTTGTTGTTTAGAATCTTAGTCATTAGCAAGGCAAAATAATTCTTACAGCAACCTCTTATAAGAAAAAAGATACTTACCAATTCTGGAATATCTTTAACTTTTAAAGGAACCTGAATTAGCCCCAGATGATTTCTGAAACTAGGTTGTTCCCCATTTTCATAATTTGGGTTTCGAAGATTCATCAGTACCTTAAAAATGGTAGCTCCGTTATTCCTTGCATATATTCACAAATTTACATTCAGAACTCTTCTTAACATCATCAGTATTACAAACAGTACATTCAGCATAAACCATTTCCTGCAACTATTTTATATATATATGCCCAAATTATATCTCAACATTTTCAGAATCAAAAAGGATCCACATTTTTAAGGAAGCAAACATATTCTACTTTGACAAGTAAGCTCAAATTATGAAATAAAACAGCAGAAATAATTTTTGATATAGGGGACTAAGTGCTGGCTACATAGTAATGTCTTGACTAAAATTCACTTCCTCATCATCAATGTCATTCGAATGCCAAGAGTATATTTCTGATAGCCACAGTATCCAGGATATTCTTCAGTATTACTTTTCTCTGAAAGCATTTTATCCATATTCTTACACTGGCAATCCCATGCAGTTTTCAATCAAAGTGCTGCGTAATTTGCTACTAAAATAATTTCTTTCTAAATAACAACACATCAAGATATCTTCTTTTGTTTAAGAAAAAAAAATAAATTACAGATTTGAAAACTTAAAGTAAGCATAAAATTTAAGACACAATGAATCATAATGTCAAGATAAGTAAGTTTGATAAGTAAGGAATTTACAGTCTCTTACATACTGTTATTCCATGGGTATAGATTTTTATATTATAATGTTGAGCTGGCAAGGATTCTTTCTAAGATGAGTTTCTGGCTCTTAAGAAATTCTTCCACATCCTACCTCTACAATTCTCAGTCTTGTAAGTATTCTAACACCATATAAACTCACTGTCAGACTTGTAAATTAAAAGATTAATGTAAGAAACTGCAAATTCTGGAAAGAAAACAGTATAAAAGAAAAATAAAAGTGACCTTGAGGGTCACTATATAAGGCTAAAATAAAGATGGATTTGTTTAAAGATTCAAGATTAAATACACAACTTGGTTGTTAGTACATTGATGGAAAACAGAATAAGTTAAAAATTTTCAATATTATTATCGCTAACTGAACAAGAAATGTAATAAACTGGATAGAAAGTTTATTGTTGGATTCAAAAATGCATTCACAATTCATAACCATGAAACAATTTACACAAGTCAGAAATACTATAAATCTCCTCTACCACTGCAAAAGACATTCCACTAAACTTGCACTGAATCACATACATTAATTCTGACTGATAATTCAGTACTAGAATTCTAAGCTTCATTCAGTAAATTAGGAGGCCATCTTAACTCTATAATTCCACACTGTTATCATGCTCTAGATGATTTGTTTCCTGTATAACTCACAGGATATACAGATACTGATTTTTAAAATTTTATTTTCAACCATATTTTAACCCAAAGTCTCCTACTGTGTCACTATTAACTTCACTGTCATCAACAATTTTTATTGTCCATCACCCATGCCTATTCTAGGCACAGATGGTAAAGCAAGTTCTGTTTTACAAAGATGTTATGTGCTTGAACCATACAAAATGATGAATAATACTGTCATTTCTGACTTTAAAGAGTCAGCAGTCACCATTTTTTTAATGATCTGGTTTGATAACAGACAAAAGCTTCCAAATTCTATATACTTCTGTTTCATGCTTGCTTTTTCAAAATCTTCACAGATGACCTACAATTTCTACTGCATACAGGTCTATTATCTACAGCCAAACAGTCTATCAGCTTCACATATTGCAGTTTATCAGCTTAATGTATTTTAATTTAAAATGTAAAATGATTTATAAAATTAGTTGGAGAATTGCTCTCAGAGGAAAAAAGTTAGCTCCAAATTGATTGTTCTTTGGAGAAAGAGAAGTTTACCACAAGTACAATTTAAAAATGAAGTTTTAAAAAAGAGAAAATAGCATTTTGGTTTGTAAATAAAACATGGAGTCATAAAAATCATGCCAAACTTCACTTGCTATAAAGGACAAATTGTCTGAAATACATTTAACAATTATTTTTCTCACTTGACGTAAAAGACTATAATGGATGCAAGTCAATGACTGTTTCATAAATTCTTACCTCAAGAAAATCTTTAGGTGCATACACAGGCCGGAAGAGACTTAGATCTGAAATAAGATTTTAATGATGTTATGTTAAAACCTAGAGATGAAAAAAACATTAAATTTTCCCATATCTGTAACACAATCTAGCAATTTCAATAACATATTAGAGCAAAGATTAAAACAATGTTATCACAGATACCATGGCTACAACCACCACATATTCGCCAAGATTATGCTACTGTTAGTGCCTTCGTTTTGTAAACCTCAAGTAAGTGAACAGTAGTCACAGGAAACTTTTTACTTATTCCACATAATTCTTTAAATTGAACCATTCTTAGTCATGGACGAGAGATGATACTCAAAAGTGGGGTTTTTGTTTTGTTTTAACAGCGATTGTTGAATTAAATGTACAGCTGTCAAATAAAAAATAGGGACTAGTCATAAACAATCCATGAAAAGTATTTGCCATCACAGAGATGGTACTGTGATACAAAGCTAGTACCTTTGCAAAATCATTTCTTTTAAAGAACTTAGATATGAACTAACAAGGCAGTTAGCCTTGCTCTCCCAAAGGATAATATGATTGACTATTCTGTGCAAGTGTTATTTTTATCTTTTGTTAATAAAATGTCTCAGCTTAATTATCCATAGTTCTGAACATTTTCTTTCTATTAGCCTGAGCTTACACTAAGAGGAGCAGTGCCCTAGCTGTATAAATCTCTAACGCTGGAATGAGGAGTATTAGACCATAACCTCTCAGTGATGATTCAAAGTACAATAACTTGAAACAAAGTAACAATGAAATGAATATTTATTTATGCATAATGACGCATTACCAATGAGAAAAAACATTGAAATCAGTTTATCTTGAAGTGATTACATTAATCTTTGACTGATAAATAAGATGTATATGCTATTTTTCTGTGTACAAAAATTTAATGCACATATATTTAGTTGACCTTACCTGGCTCATCAGTTCCCATTTCATTCCATTTATTAAGCAGTTCTTTCTGTTCACTTACAGGCCTCTGAAAGGCACAAGAAAGCAACTCATCTTTTTTTAACAGATTGAGTAAAAACATGCCTATTTCATATATGTAAATTAATGTAACACTTTAAAAACCAGATTGCACTAGCAACACATACTTACTTTGCTTAAAAAAGTATCCCCAGCCTGAAGATATATTCTACTATAGAAAGTCCAAGTTCCAGTTCAAGGAAAAAAGGAGCCCATCAAATAGTTTCATGTGTTTACTAATGAATTTTAGGCTATTTAGTAGTCACTTTCATATTACTGAAGATTTACTGCTCATTCCATAGAGCTGTTGGACTTTGTCATTGAATTCCTGTCCTGGGCACAGTCATGAAAAGCAAACACAGCTGCATCCTTTATCTCATATGGTGAACCATAGAGGTTCTGCTACCTATCACAGATATACAACAGAAGAAAGATAAAGAACAAAGCAATCTAACATTATTCTCCAATTCCATGATCTTTAAAATTAAAGCCTCTAAATTAATAAAAAACAAAGCAAAGCAAAGCAGAATGAATGACAACCAAAATTAGCAATGTACCAGTATCTCTCTTTCCTAAAGTACCAGTTCAACTACAGCTTTCTCCAGCGCACAAAGTGTATCTACATTGTGTACGGGCTACGCAGCTAGAAGTTATACAGCCGAGTCTGCACACAAAAACACTCTATTAAGAGCGATGAACATAGCAATTATCTCTCCAACATGCTGCTCCCTCAAGAGACTAAGTACTGCAACACCAAAGAGGAAGATCTGCCTACAGACTTCATCTTTTCCCAAGTTGAGCTGATGTATACACTGCCACTATCCCTGAAAATCATTCTGTGTTAAAATTATTTGGATACTAGCCTTGCAGCTCTTGATAACCATGTATAAAATGAACATTACAAGTGTGCAAGATGAGGCTTAATTTCAAAAAAATGTCAGTTTGGTAACAGAAAGTTAATAATACATTACCTTCTGCGCTAGGGGGATACTAAGTTCTGTGCACATGCTGTTTAGACTTTTTAGAATTCGCTTCTCCCAGCTTCCCTAAAACACACAAAAAAATTAAATTACATGGAATTTCTTTTTTGTCCAATTGCATTTATCATATAATAACAAGCAGCTTTTTAAAGTCATATATAAGAAAGGATAGCAAAAGTCACTGACTGACATCTGCAAAAACGTAAGGGAATATTTACATGCTTGTTTAAATGGAAACAATAGAGCAAACAGATTCATAATTTACATCACAATAAAGAATCAGAAAAATGAGTTGTTCAAATTTCAGATCTCCAAAAAGCACGTACTTCACAATTACTGATTTTTGACATATGCCTAATGATCAAGCTTCCTTATATATCAACATTTAACAAATTTTTCAAATTATTATAAGCAGGGCAATCAACTGTGTACAGAGAATACCTTCTCCACTTTGTGACTTGAAGAGTGCACAAGTCTTTCTCCACAAAAGGTATCTTAAGACATTTTTAGAAGTTAAAAAAATGTAGAAATTTGGTATTCTGTAATGCTCAAAAAAAAATAGTTCTTCTAAAATAATGCTCAAGAAACAGTTCTCTAATCAAAGAGAAAACCAGAAGTAGACAATACCTCAGTAGCAAGTGGACAGCTTAAAGAGCAATCAGACTCTTCCGACTATTGCAATAGACTTCAAACTTACCATATGGTGCCTAATTTGTGGATAATTCCTCTGAAGTTAATGCCAACCAGTATTGACTTCCTAGTCAACTGACTTGGGATTTTGCTTCCGTGATTACAGCAGCACTGGTGGGTTTTATATTTAATTTAGTTTTCTGTGGATGATGAGTCAGGCCCCGATCAAATGAATGCAAAGACTCCTCTTAATGTCATTTAACTCTCTCTCATTTCTAATTTGCTCTAGACACAAATTCTACAACAGTAAGTTACTGTGTAAACACATGTTCCTCAAACTTAAAGTTCTGTCTGAAAGAAGCTACAGTTTATTAGACAGGAAGCAAATGAAAGGAAGGGCAGATGTTCAAATCTTCTGTTAAAAAAAATAATTATATCTTGTCTATAATTGTTTCATTTTACCTTCAATTTACAAGATCCTCTCATGACTTTTGCCATCAAACAAAATAGCTGTCTTTCAGCAGAAATTTCTTCTCAAAGTCAAGTCACCCCTTCACCTTCTCTTGCATAAACAAAACAGATCTGAGTTTTCCAAATTGCAATATTTTTTATAATATTGTGTGTAATATTTTTATTTAACTGTATTATTGTATTCAAATGCCTTTCAAATGCTGCAGTTACACAACCCCATGCCACAAGCTGGTTATTCTCTCATGGAGGGCTGGTGTAGAGCATTTATAGTACCCTATTTTGCTGAGAAGCATAGTTTTTTTGGAAGAAATGAGAAGTGAGAGAGCATAAAGACTACAAAGCCACACAGCATAAAAAAGCAGAAACAAAGAGACAATACAGAGGTTTCAGTAGCAGTTTAAAAAAATTAAGTGAAATCACCAAGATCAATCATAGAATCACAGAATATCAGGTTGGAAAGGACCTCAAGGACCATCTGGTCCAACCTTTCTTGGCAAAAGCACGGTCCAGACAAGATGGCCCAGCACCCTGTCCAGCTGAACCTTAAAAGCACCCAGTGTTGGGGAATCCACCACTTCCCTGGGGAGATTATTCCAATGGCTGACTGTTCTCATTGTGAAAAATTTTTTTCTTGTGTCCAATTGGAATCTCCCCAGGAGTAACTTGTACCCATTACCGCTCATCCTTTCCATGCAACTCCTTGTAAAAAGGGAGCCTCCATCTTCTTTGTAGCCATCCTTTAAATACCGGAACATGGTGATTAAGGTGCCCCCTAAGCTGCCTTTTCTCAAGGCTGAACAAACCCCCTTCTCTCAGCCTTTCCTCATATGGCAGGCTTCCCAGTCCTTTGATCATCTTTGTGGCCCTTCTCTGGACCCTCTCCAGCCTGTCCACAGCATTTCTGTATAGCGGGGACCAAAACTGAACACAGTATTCCAGGTGTGGCCTGACAAACACTGAGTAGAGTGGGATAATTACTTCTTTAGTCTCTGCTGGTGATGCCCTTGTCAATGCAACCCAGCATCCTGGTGGCTTGCTTTGCCACAGCAGCACACTGTTCACTCACATTGAGCTTGCTGTCCACCAGGACCCGCAGGTCCCTTTCCACAGAGCTGCTGCGCAGCCAGGTAGACCCTAGCTTGTGCTGCACTCCTGGATTATGTTTTCCCAGGTGCAAGACCTTACATTTGTCTTTGCTGAATTTCATAAGGTTGTTGTTAGCCCACTCTTCCAGCTTATCTGGGTCTTCCTGCAGGGTGTCTCTCCCTTCCGAAGTGTCCAGTTCCCCACCCAGTTTGGTATAATCAGCAAACTTCATCAGGGTACACTTGATCCCAGCAGAATTAAGGGGGGGCGGGGGACGGGGGACAAAAACACACTACAGATATGCTCCAAGATATAAAAGCTACAAAAGAAGCACAGAAGAGGCAGATGGCAGCTTTGCAAGACCAAGAACCAGCTCGTTCCAAGGAGCAAACCGAGTTCGATACTCAGTGTGACTGACAACTGCAGGACCAGACATTAACCCACTTATTGCATTGGGGAGGCAATCCGTTAGTAATAAATCACTTCTGGATACTCATAAACTGTGCCATAATTCAGCCTTCAAGATTCTGCCCAGTAAAAGATGCTCAAATAAAAGCAACCAAGTCAAAAAAAAAGTGAGGGTTGCACAGCCTCTTCAAGCAAGACGCCTTGCCCTCTCTCCAGTACAGCGGAGTTACCTGCAGTGAGCAGAAACAGAATGCAGTGTCCTCAACTGAAATCAAAGCTAGAGGCAGAGTTCATAAAGTCATTTCATTGATGGGAACAATAAATTTTCCAAGATGATTCCTCTAATTTTATGAAGAAAGCTAAGAAAACACATTGCTAGGATTGCTATGGTTACAATGATAACCTTCAGTAAAATAGCTGAAACCAAGGAAGGCAGTACTGCAATTTGCAAACAATTTCAAACATTATCCAGGAGGAAGCAGTTAGTGACC